CGCGGAGAACATCTGAGATGCGATAAACATCAGACTCAAGCTCATTCTCATCGCGCATGCAGCTACAAGCGATCCAGTAGGCAGGAAGCTTTGCAGCTCGACAAGCGGTCTCGGCGATGTGATGAAGAGCCATCATGTCCTGCTCAGAGCTATGGCTAAAGTGCTCAGTAGAGTAGGCAACAAAGAGATAGGCAAGGTTTGTGTCTTGTCCATCATTGTTCTCCCACTCGACAACACTACGGACATCTACTCCTCTGTTCTCATCGTTGAATGGCTCACGAAGGAAGCAGAGATAGCGAGGTCGCAGCATGCGATAGATCTGGTTGTTGCGAGCCATGAGGGATAGACCTTTGCGGTTCTCGAGCAGGTTGCTCCAGACCTTGGCGTCACCGTGATACCTGTAAAGAACAGGAGCATAAGCGAGGTTTCGCTTGATGACATTAGGCTTGCCATCCCAGAACTGCTGATGTCAATGTACTTGTCATAATATCTTGTCAACATGCAACTTACAACAAGAGCCATGGCAATAGCAGCCGGGAAAGTTCTCAGCACCATGATACCCCAATCTTCCCAACTCTTGGGGTCGTAGCTAAAGTCAATGATCCATGTAGCAATGCGCACCTTCATCGGAGCGACCTTGCGAACATAAGTTCTCTTCCAAGTCGAAGTACCAGGGCCTTCATAGATGGAATCAACACATGCAACATACATGTTACGAAGGTAGCCATCATTGTGGTGCAGATACCGATCTGAACGAGGCTTGAAGGAGACGCGACCCGCATAGTCTCTATGTCTCAACTTGACCTCACTGTTCGTGTAAGTGTAACCAGGCTTCTGGTACAATACAGGGTTGCGCCATCGGTAGATGGATCGCGAGTCAAAGAAGTGCTTGCTTCCTTTGAGCTTGACAGGAAACTCCTTTTCAGAAACCTGAAAGCATTGTCAGCAGGCACTTGGGATAAAATGGGAGAGTATTCACTTCTTTCTCATTTGGACTGGTCGAAGTCGTGAGAGGCGTGGTAGTTACGGGGACAATGGCACCTTTGTTCTGCTAAGAAATGTTCAATTTAGAGACTAGAAACAAAAGCAACCACGGAAGAGCTTTACCATTGGTCCGTCCTGCTGACCACTGCTAGAACCCTGTTGATAGATGACACCCTGTTGACCATTGTAGGCCTGCTCTCTTGTCAGCGAGTGCCACAGTAGAGGATGTGTAGTTACTGACCATAGATGGCTGTTGGTACTGCATTGTATTGTGAGTCTGGGGTTGTCCAAGAGGAATAGAATGTTGGTATCCTAGTGAGCCAGGAGAAGCAGGATAGCTGTGGGACTGGGCCGAGAGTGGGCTTGTAGAAGGCGATACAGCTTGTTGATATGGATGAGTGTACGGTTGGTTCTGGTAAGACTGTAAAGCATGAGAGACTGGGAGGGTAATCGAGATATATAGATACTTACAACGACCGAGCTGCCTGGAGTATACGCACCGCCGTGGGCTTGGTGAGGTACAGCAGGGGGTGGTGTCTGATTATACTTGATCTTGTTAATACCGGTTCTCTGCAGATGAAATCGAAGCTGACTTACATTTCCAACAGAGTTGGGATCCCAGTGCCCTCCGTGTGCCTATGACAGGTGTCAATGACTGAATGAAGCAAGGGAGAAGACGAGCGGGAAATACCATGGTTCAAATATGCAGAGCTGTGATGGAGAGAAAGTGACAAAACGCAGGATGAAGGAAATAGAAAGGGTCAAAGTCCTTCAGACCGACAGGTGGTTCTTCTCCACGCTAATAAACCACAAGCAAACCCTACGGCATATGTCACAAAGGAGCCGCAGCCTGACCAAAAAGGAGCTGGACATCAAGCTGAAAGGGTGTAACGCGAGCATCCTATGAGAACGCAGAGCCTAGGCTCCGATTTGCAACTATATCTTAATATACGCGCTTGATAGCACCATTCCTTTTGCCACCGGAGACCTAGACCTTTCAGGAAGTGCAGAGCCCCTTCATTCTTGAGTCCAGAGCCTGCCTCAAGGAGAAGAAAAACTTCTGACATTGAATGAGGGTACTAAAATAAACTGGTCTAAAGGCTTCCTAAGCTATACTAAACTTGCCTAAACTTTTTAATCACTTAGAAAAGAGGTCCTGGGTTTTCCCGTCTCCCCCCTGGCCTGGTATCAAGGGGTGTGAACGTGTGTGACTATTCTTGACCTCCTGCATGCAGCCTCACAATATTGCAACGGTGATAGGCCACTGGTGACAAGTCGAGAGACGGCATATTCCGTGGAGTTGAGGCTCGAGCAGCAAACTATTAGAAGCGGCTGAGTCTCGATATGTCACTCGCAGCCTCTGCAACTGTGATATTGGCCGTTGGGGGCCGGGGGTTAGGACTATTCAGCCATGGCGTTACCCGCGGCTTTGAGAGTATCACAACCCCTGACATATTGTCGCAAACGCAGTGTCAGGATAGGACGCCTTGTGAGGTTTGGCGCCATGGAGACGAGCCACAGGGGACCCCTTGACCAAAAGCGGCATGCTGGGCGAGTTGGAAGATGTCTCACCAGGGATTGCCATTGGGCTGTCTCTCCAAGGATCTATTTATCTATCCGAAAACCTCTCCAGGATCACTAATATTCCGTTTGGTTGTGAAACCCACATGATCAGAAGTGCGGGAGTTGTAAACGATAGCGTTGAGGCCGTAGCGAATGGCAGCATTGATAACATGAAACCCCTGGTCAGCGAGACTTTCAGCCCTGGGGAACTAGACCGGTCTGAGTGTAACCCAACCCGGGAGGTCGGGAAGCTTGATAATCTAAACTATATTATTTTTACGCGAAAGATGGACCAATGAGGTGTTGATCTTGTATCTAGACTCGTTGGTGGCCCATTTCCGTTCAGAGACGGGGATATGGCGTTTTGGTGGTTGAAACATGGCTTGGTCTGGACACACCTCAGGGCTGCAAGCTTGCGATATCCCTGAAATAGAAACTAATACATGAAATGATAATGCACAATCACGACGCCATGGTCCTAGATCAGAGGGTTCGGCGCTTGTGCTTAGGACGAGCAAGGAATACAATTGAGGCCCCCCAGTGTTAGAGACTGAGACCCTGAGGAGGATTTCCCCATCATAAGACAAGCAAAGTAACAGTCCATTTACTCGGTCAAAGTGATCTTGGGTCGCAGCTCACGAAGTATTCACCATGTCCTGGACGCAGAGATCTAATCCTTATGATGCCTTTGCTCAAGAGGCGACGTCAACGCCGCTCGCAGTCGCTTTTCCACAATGGATGCTGAATATCTGGGAAGTAACCCACGGTAAGTGACTGGAATTCTCCCCTTGGAATCTCTCGCTGATCATTTGTAGATCACCCAGAAGGCCGTTGGTACCTGGAGCCTAACGCCCGTTGTCTGCGGCAGAGGGCCAGCTTGAGGATTGTGTAAGTTGATCACATCACAGAACAAAACGAGGCCTTTTGTTTTGCATCATCAGAAAACGCAGAGACTTACAACCCCAGATTTGCACCTCTTGATCTTCCCCGTCGAGATGCCCTCTCCCAGTTCGTCGAGCTCTTCAACATCCTCAACATCCCCAGCGACTTCACCAAAGAACGTCTCCAATCTGTTAGTCACAGCTTCGGGCGCTCCACCGACGCTCATGGCTCCAGCTCGTGGTTTCACTTCCTCTGCAAGAACATCGACATCAAGCAAACTCCCGGAAATGCCCCCGAAATTGACAACCGTGCTGCCACGATGGGTTATCACGTCTCTACCCTCCCGCAGGCCGACTATAGTTGGCATCGCGCAGGCTTCTTTTTGAGAGTTGATAACAATGGTTGTGTTACACTTGTTTGCTTTGGAGTCATGCAGAAGGTGAGGGAGAGGATTAATGAGTTCGTTGCTGCCAAGGCCTGGCAGCATGTCGCGACTGATCCGTATATTCTGTTTGATCTTGTGTTTGAAGCTCTCTACTTTGAGGTTGATAACACTGTTTGGAAGATGAACACTGTTTTTGGTCCTTTGGAACATGTAAGTCACCTACCTCCAATACATCATGCCCAACTGACTGATGGATCTAGTTGATCCTCGAGTACGCCAACTCTAAGAACATCCGCAAGATGAGCTCCAAGGTCCCATTCTCTGCAATGCACAATTGCGCCAAGCACATCATCCACATTGCAGAGGCAATTGACTCATGCATCTTGCTTGTTGACGCAACTCTCCACAATGTCGGGAATCACCAACATCCAGAGCAGCCAACTCTGCGAGAACCAATAATCAAACAGTTGCGCGAAACTCTCCAGTATCGGCGCTCGCTTTTTATGTCTAGTCAACTCCGCCTCAGCAGTCTCCAGAAACGTATCGACAACGCCATCACGCTATCGTTCAACCTAGTCACTCAGCAAGACTCAATGGTGATGATCCAGGACTCCAATTCCATGAAGGTCATTGCAGCTATTACCATGATATTTTTACCAACGACTGGTGTTGCTACTGTCGTCGGCTCCCAGCTGTTTACATCTGAGATTCTGAAGGACGGTACAAGCTGGGACGTTAGGCTCTCACCATTATTCTGGACCACGTTGTGGATTTCTATTCCTCTTACTGTATTTGTAGTTCTTTTGGCTATCATCTGGCATTGGTGGGTTCACACCGAGTCTCCTACAGGAGAGGTTGTGCAGGTGGTTAAGAGAGCGGCGACGTTCAGTTCTTCCGGTACGAGAACGCCACCAAATGGCAATGCCAAGTGATTTGTTTTTAAGCCAATCACTTGGGTTTTTATTCTCTATCATTGCGACTTTGTGATGGTCCTGTCTTTTGATGGAAGTGTATTATCCAGCGCCGAAACCATGTGTATTTAATACGAATTGACATATAATAGCTACATTGTCCTTGACCTCGGTGCTGCTGAATAACAAATTCATGTCCTCGACTGACTCGCAGTCATAATGATAAGCCCAGCTTGTGGGAGGAACTTGACGCTCAGTACAAGTCAATATCGCATTTAACACTTGAACACAGCAGGGCCGGGGATCTTGTAGGTGGTGGCTGTTATCCCTATTAGCAAGGCTTAAACTTCAGCTCAGACGGAAGAATACTCACCCTGGTAAGGGCTGTAGGTAACACCGGGGTCAGTGCTGGCATACGCTCCGGGGAAAGCAACAAGGTTTGAAGGAGTTGTGCTACCGGAGCCGGAGACCTTGAGCTGATGGCAGCCAGGGTAGAACTGGGCTCCGGGATATCCTGAGGCGGAGTGAAGCGCAATAAGCTCATGGCGGACAAGGTAATAACCAGGCTTGATGCACTCAGGAATGGTGTAGTTGACACCCGAGTTACCAGACTTCATCAAAGGGGTCTGGTATGACAGCGTTAGTAATCTTATAACCCCGTATAATGAGGGCTTATACTTACGGTAGCCCAGTTGTTGCTGGTTCCGTCACGTCCAGCCTCCTGAATCTTGAACCAGACCTTCTGGGTACCAGGCTCCCAAGTATCACAGCCTGAATCGGGGCAACGAGCCATGTAAGTAATGACGGGTCCAACATGAGACTCAGGCCAGAGGGTCCACTTCAGGTTGACAGTCGAGCCAGCCTTAGCATCGGCATGGAGAGCAGCAGGTGAGCTTCCCTTGATACCTCCAGCAGTGTAGCCGTTGCACTGCATGTCGATGGAGGTGACATCCTCAACAGGGCCGTTGCCTGGGATCGGACGGGAGATACGCTTGGGAACTGGGTTCATGTAAGGATCAGTGTTAGGGTTGTAGAATTGGTATGTCTGGCCATTAATAGTGCCTGTCTCAACGTATCCGTGGGCAGCAGCCAGGCCAGCAGTGGCGAGAAGTGAGTAGAGGAAATGCATGCTGAATATCTTCAAAGCTATAAGGGTTTATGGAAGAGCTACAAGGTAAAATGAAAGAATGATCCGAGATCTGGGGTGTAGAAGCTTGACGATCACATCCTATCGTGAAAGACTGGCGTCTTATATAACGATGAGGACGATGTTGAATAGACACTAACTGACAAGGGCCGGTAGCATGTAGATGAAACACCCCGAGTATTTCCACCATTCAAACAAATGTTTTCAATACTTTAGTTTTGGAGACTTTCATGATCTAAACGAAAGCCAGGGTGAATTCCCCAATTGGGGAGTGAAAGCTCGGAGCTTCAATGATCATCCCAATTAAGCATCATACCTTATTTTTACTCCGCGACCGAATTGACAGCCACTGGCTCATCTCGCTAGCCGAGAATAGGCCAAGGATTTAGTTGTAAATTGTCGGTCTTCTCATCATGACCTGTCGATGGAGATATCGAGAAGTAGAGATAATTGTAGACGCCATCATGAGGAGCACGTGATATCAGAATGGCTTACCAGTAATCACTGCATTGAAACACCAAACAGACAACATTACCATCGCCATCAGAACCCTGCCTATAAATTCGTCCTTAAGTCTGCCAGATACTGTATCAAAATCTAATCGATCGGTTCTCAGCTACCATGCGTTTACCGCTGGAGGTCATGGGACTCATTGCCGAACATGCGGCTCAGCACATCAGAAATGCATCCCCATTCATCCAACCCACGAATCAAGAGGAGGCAATAAAGGCGCAAGAATACCACCGTGACCTATTAAACCTAGTCCTCTCATGCAAGACCGTCTACAATCATAGTCGACACCTCCTCTACACCTGTCTAATCCTGGGGAATGCTGCCGACATAGTCGCCGCTCTGGCCAATATTGTCAAACATCCACAAGTCGGACCGTCTATCCGTCATATAAGGTGCTGCACGGAGCTTCACTCCGAAACAGAGCGGGATAAGGCTTTACAGCATTGGCTGTTGAACCACTCACACGATGCGGCACTACTCCAAGACGCCCTCAATGCAGAAGGTTTACGTCCTCCTTGGTGGAATGAAACAGATATTCCTTGGACATGCTGGGAAGGATTTGTATACGATGACTGTACAGAGTTTGCACTCTTGGCCCTTCTGCATATGGTAACGGAGCTAGAGACGCTTTCGTTCCAACAGCTTGACGCAGACCTCATTACAAATTGGGAAGAAGAGCGAGATCTGCGAGCATCTTTCGCGGAGGCTCGGACTGGAGCACGACCCTTCTTAGGTTCGTTACGAAGTCTTCACTTCGGTAGTGGGACCTTGGGTGGTATGGAGAACTTTCTTTCCAGTCAACCGCACGAAAATCTAGAAGTCCTGGTCCTCGATGGTATAGGTATTGAAGGCTTCAGCCGATGGTCCAGATACTTTGAGTTCAAAGGTACTCATCTGAAGGAGCTTTACTTGGGAAAAAGAAAAACATCTTCTAAAGCTGTTATTGATCCTCTTCTTGCTCAAAGAGAATGGGTCAATGGCAGGTGGGTTACTCCAGGACCAAAAGAGCTAGAAACCCAGTCTGAGGTGTGTATGGGAGGCGAAGAAGCATGGAGACTCTCGGTTCCAGAAGCCAGAGATACTATGGATTGCCTCAAACACTTCAGGAATCTCAGGGTGTTGGATGTTGTTTTTGACAGACCTCCTGATTGGCCATCTAGGTCGTTGATTGCAATCAAGAACATTGCGTCAGAGTCCTTGGAGGTTTTTAGAATCGAAGGATACCCATTCAAAGTTGTTCCAGGGGATTTTGGACCCTGTAACACTGCGTATGAACGTGCTTTCGTTCCTAGTTTTAATACGGTCGAGTAGGTTAGAGGCTACACTATCTAGCTAAACACCTTTTCTTCAACTAAATGGCATCAACAACTTTTCTTCTTGAATAAGGTCATTATACTCCAGTTACTTTTAGAGAGATATCTCGAACTATTATATAGTGACTACTGCCATGTTACCATGCCCCTGCTGGATTTCCCGCTCCTTGTCTAATTGTCTATAAACTTGTGATAAACGCGACGTATTCTTGGCTCCTTTTACCTCCTTTTCGTAACGTTTACTTTACTAACATCCATAACTCGTTCTCCGTTATATATGCCATATAATAAAATGCCGGATTTTATTAACCTATCTCAGCAGGAACCCACAACGTTCCCACTACAATTCCCACTTCGGCGTTCTAGTAGAATCGAAATGCCCTCTAAACACTCTCCTTAGAACTCCTAAATGTCTAGCAAGCAACTTTCAACTTTCTGTCAACTCGTCTGTAACCGCAAGGGAATAAGGCCTCCTATCTTTTAAGGTATCACCAGGCTTCTTAAACCAGGAGCAAAAAGGTCAAAAACATACAACAGCGGGGATTCGCTGGTCGTCACCGACCCAACTACTAATCCGCCCCTTATCAGCTTATCTATGGGAGAGCGGACGGGATCCCGAGTTCTCTGATAGGTATGGTCGTATGTGAAAGATCGTGGTGTTGAGAAGTCTCAAGACCAAAACAACACGAGCACATAACGTTAATACCAAATGTGATATGGATTTATTAGTGCTATATTAAAACATGCTACAGACCTTGAGGCTTCTTCCGACTGAATGGACTGTTTGGAAATGTCCACGGTGTTGTTGGTGGCGTCTTTAACCTTATGATATACCGCTGTCATATCGTTGAATCACAGCCGACTTTAACCCTTCTTGGAGAGATTGAGTGATACATACCCAGGAAGTTCTGTGTGCATCAGCTGGTTTCTTTGTCTGCCATTCAATCTGGATAGTGTCTAGGTATATGATAATAAGCTTCATACTTGTCGAAATGTTTAAAGACGGGTGCTTATCGTCACCTGCCGAGCTACCAGTGAAGACAAGACGATTGAGCCAGTCCTTCTTGCTTGCAGTTTCTTTGAGTTCTTGAACCAGAGCCATTGTAGGTAATCAAATTCATTCTCAGGTTCGTTAGAGAAAGTTGAGTCTTGATGCTTGTTTCAGGTATTGCTTCTGGCAAGTCATATTCATAGCCGTAACACCGAAGGATAAAACGAATCTAGGGATGATCTATATTAACAATACCGCTGTAATTGTGCCTAAGAGATAGGCATTTTGGTAAACTTTAGAAGATTGCCATACGTCTCTTTGCAGGCTCGCTATGAGAACCAAGTTGCAGCTCGACGATGCAACCGGATGAAAAATAGGAAGATATAGAAATACGACTTACCCTGTGGCGATCTGGGTAATCAATGAGTGAGTACTCACCACTTTCGCTGCGGCAGTTGTCTCGCGTCTTCCGTCCTCTATGGAGTATCTTTCAATTCTGTGCGACAAACAACGTCGCTCGTTTCAACATTTGAGACTCAATGATCATTGCATCACTACAAAAATATGCCGACTCCAATGAATTCGTAAAATTTAAGTAACAGCGTACAATGAGCCTGTCAATGATGTTATACCCGCTCGATGACGGAGTTCGGCAAAGCCACACCTCTATGATGGGTGTATGGGTCGTCGGACTCGATGCCAAATACCCTGTACAAAAGAAACGATCGTGAGAAAGGAGCAGGATAGCTTGGATCTTTGAGGTAACGCGCAAAGAATAATCTTGCAACACTCGACTTTGTCATATGGCGTTAATTTTTACTGTGTCACCAAGCTTAGGAGTTGATATATCAGCTATTAAAATATCTTGTAACCGTGAGTGCAAGGCTTCGACTACACTGTGTTCTGACATGTCGCAGCCTTTTGAAGTAATTTGAACATTTTGTACGACACCTCGAACCTTGGTGTTGAACTCTTTTGCTCCCTCGGACGAGATGCCCTAGATCGTTAGAACCGTTGTTCACCAGGATCTGACAGAAACCCGAAACAGAAGCAGCCCTTCTGGAAGAATGTGACGGTTACGGCCAAGATGCAGCTTTTCATTCTTTAGGCATCCAGATGTTACCAATCTGCCCCAATACCTTGAAAAGGCCTCCCACCCTCGTCGAGTCGAGTGTAACCATACGTAGTATCAACTGAGATTCAAGATCACGCCACTTGGAAAGCAAGCTGTACCGGCCCATTCTCTTGGAATAATGCGTGCACTCAAGCATGTAACATAAAACATGAGATATCAGTTTATATCTCATGCCTGATAACTTGGCGAGCAGCTTGAATTTGGTGACACGCACGGGACTGCCGGCAGCTCACCAGTGTCGGCGAGATCATCGATCTTTGGTTTGTTTTTGTCTCGATTGTTTTGAATTGAGTTCGAGACGAAAGATGGATTTGAGTAACCTAAAAAGTCATGCAGGCTTCCAGAGAAGAGCCTATGGGCATTCAATCATCGTAATGCGTTGTGGATTCTTGGATATGGATGCATGCGATAATGCCGCGGCGTTTCCTAGAATAATTCGCTCACCAGGACAGTCTGGGTGAAGCATCATAGGTCAATAATAACGGGCCTCACATCCAATGCATCCATGATTTGATGCCGACCGCCGTCAATGTTGATCGAAACGTGCTGATAAGGATGTCTCGGACGGTGTCTTGGTGCTGTTAGGCTGTCCCACAAAGATCAGAATTTCCTTTCAGCATGGCACTTCTGTTGTCAGCACTCGTTGCTTTATGCACCTCAATCGCAGATGAGGCCCGATCAAGTCACTCAATCTCGTTCTTCTTTCTCTTCTGTCTTCAAGGTGATGTCGCTTGGCCATCGTCATGAAGCAGCGGCTAACAGTGGGTTGGGTAACACACTACCTGCACGCTGAACTGCAAGCGGCAACCCAGTAAACTAGTGAAAGTACGTATTCGTTTGACGAAATAAACACCAACATTAGTTATTGGCGATCTGGCGCGGAATATCGCAGGTTGGAGTGAGGCACGGAAGCGGGCGGGCATTAGCCAGTTGAGCGGACTGCAGATCACCGACAGGACAGTAGAGGGCATGAGAGGACATCAGAGCCTAGAGGAAAGCGAAGAGAGGAGAGGAGCGGCGGACGCTGCAC